CCCCCGAGCCCTGCGCCCCACCCTCGGCTGCTGTGGACCCGCCCCCTACGCGGCCTCGCGGAGACCCACCTCTTGCGGTTTCCAGGAAGGTTTGCCTTCACCCCTTGGCGATGCCTGGTATGTGACGAAAGCGTGATCGCGAGCGTCGCTAGGCCCGCCCGCACCCGTGGGCCTTTTCCGGAGTCCCTGTCAGCCGGCGAGCGAGGCTGCAGCAACTCCTCGCCAGGCAGTTGAGCGGACACTTCTCAGGCTCTGCCCTGTTGCAGATGCGTCCCCCACAACACACATCCGCACCAGAGAATGTATGTGACCAGAAGGTACGTCTCCAGAAGCCATTAAATTGTCAAAGGCTTCCATTTGGGGAATAAATAAGATTTTTAAAAATTGTATGGAATTCTCAAAGAATTGGTGAAAATACTACTTTTTTTTTTTTTTAATTTTCAAAGGCATGTAATTGCTTCACACATAATTCAGCAAGAGACCACAGCTCGCTAATGCTGGGGAAAGGTTGAGATTTCTCTGTGAGAGTCCAGCTTGCGCCTTGGTTTCTGGGGGTATTGCTGAGATCCTGTCCTGCTAAGCTAAACTGGAAAGGTTAAGAGAAAAGCTTTCTATGGAAAGCTAATTTCCCCCTAATTGCCAAACATCAAATGAAAACTACCCTGGAAGTAGTGTGACCTCCCTGACAAGGGTGTGGATAACTGATAAGAAGGAACATACAAGCAACTAGAACAAGTTTATACTGTTCAAGTCTTCTGCCGATGTGTCTTCATGACGTGCTCTTTTCCTGAATCAAAACATGACCATCAATGTTTGTAATTTGAAAAGTAACATTGAACAAAAACCTTAATCGAAGCTACCATGATTAGACAAATCGGTTTCAGTAGGCATTCTTTTTATAATCTGGCATTGCAATCAGAACTTTCTTTCTGATATCTATGACCTATAAAATCAGCAGTGGAATTTTTATATTATAAATTATCCAACTTAAGATAGATATTAAAAAAACAAAAGAAAAAGAAGGAAAAAAAGATAGATATTTAAAGAGAAAAAGAAATCTTATTTTTGTTCTTATGACCGAACCTTACATTATAACACCCAGCATGAAGCTATAGATATGTTTATTAAAGAGAACAAAACAATACTTCCGTTTCTAAGAGAATGTCCTAGAACCTACTGCATCAAGCTCTATCTGAATACTCTAACTTATCCATCGATTCTTTAAAGTTCATATTATCCTGGTTGTGTGGATGGAGAGATGGAAACTCAAATAATTTGGCAAAGCTGTGATTAAGATTTTGGGTCGTCAGGCAACAGAACATATGTTCTTAAGCTATATCCCCAAACAAGCTTATTTCCCATATTTCATTTCCAAAAGATTTGGTTACAAATTAGAACTAGAAATTTTTATTGATATGTCACCAAAATTTGTCAATATAACTTGTGAAACAGCAATCTAGAGGATGCTTTATATATCAATATTGAACTGGGTTCCAAATTTCTAAAGAAAGAAGTAGGGAAGGGTGTGGGAAATAAGGAAGGAGTTGATTCTAGGTGTTATGAGGCAATATGGTAGAAAGCAACTCAAGTATGTGAAGGCCATAATGAAAGTTCAAATTCTCAGGAACAAAAAATAGCAATATAGCAGTATTTTGCTTTGAACATTTTCTACCAGAACCACAAGCTAGGAGAGTATTTTTATATTATAGTTATAATTCTTTAGTGGTGGTAAAAATCCTCTACATGTATAATTATCAGTGATTTTTTTCACTAAGTCTATTTACTGGTGATAGGAGTGCATACCATGGTGGGTGTGTAGAGGGCAGAGGGAAACTTTTAGCAATCAGTTTTCTCCTTTGACCTTGTGGGGCCCAGGGATTGAGCTCAGGTTGTCAGGCTTGGCAGTAGGCGCCTTTACCTGCTGAGACATCTTGCTAACCCTTATGGGTATTTTTGTTGTCATTTGTTTTTCTTTAATGTGTTAGAAAACATTAGAATATATTGGACAGTATAAGTAAATATATGCTGTGTAAAATCTTGGTTTCAGTTTTTTGTGTATACACATATACAAATGCCTTCACATGATAGAAAAGGCATTTTCATCCTGTTGCTAGTGATTGGGAAGTTTGAGAAAGAGAAATGGGAAAACACACAACTTAAGAAGGTAGGTAGCAGGTATAAAAAGAAAATATTTGGAGTTAGTAGTATTCATTTATTCCACAACTATTTCGTCAGTGTTTCAGCATCAAATGGTATAGTAGGACAGGCCCATAGAGTCAAGGAAATTGGCTCAAACCAGTTGCCAAGGCATGCACATAATGTATTCCTTATGAGTCAACCTGGAGTCTGCCTGAGGGCCCAGCAACAGGTGCTGTCAGAGTACCTGGTCACTGTCAGAATTTCTGATTGTGCCCAGCCAATGAGGGATGACCATGTAATGCCACCTGATTGAGACACAGCTTGGTTGCTTGGAGGAGGTTATAAAAGGCCTTCTCTGTTATTGAATAAATGAGTCTGCTGTTTGCCTTCAACTAACTCCCAGTGTCTGTGTCATTGAGGCTATGCCTTCTCACCCTGTCCTCTGAGGGAGCCATTAGGATCCAGCAACAAAATGGTTGTATGAAGACTGCCTAAAACTATGAAAGGGCACTAAGCCCACTCTAGAGTGGCCTTTGCTGCTCTGGGTGCAGTTTATAATCTAGTTGAAAAGATAAGCCATAGAGGCGAATCATTCAAGGAACAATTAAATCCTGACACTGATGATTGCCAATGATTTCAGAAAACTGATGTGAGCAATAGCAATTGGGGAAGGTTTCAGGAAAAAGCTAATACAAGTCATTTATTTATTTATCTCTGACTCTATACCACTGAACCACATCTAGATTTAAACTGGATCTGAAATGGAGGGATAAAGAAGATATAGACTTTGCAACCAGATGAACTGCTAATGCTTGAGTGAAGAAAGCTCTGGATGTATAAAACAGTGTAACTAATTCAGGGTAAGAAGTGGGGCTGGATGAGTAAAGTGAAGCCTAGTATACAGAGTTTTGGACTAATTACAAGTCTTTATTTTTTTTTTAAAAAATGAATGTTGCTACAATTCCTTCCCAGAAGATGTAAGTAATGTCTAACCTTCTGCTAAGAGCCTAGTAGCCAAGGTGTGATTACCTCAAAGTTCACTCTAGGGACCAATGAGTTTATTGTGCTTCCTTACAGAGCACAAACAAGGGCTTACTTACAGTGGTGTAGGTGCTCCCACAACCAGACACACCCCAGAAGCCTTACCCCAGCAGGGACGAGAGCTTCCCAGGTAGCCATATAGAGGGAGCCACTTCTCCCTTCTCCTGTCTCCCCTTGTCTACGTGCTCCAGCTCTCCCAGAGGCTGTGTGCAGTTGAGGCAGAGCTGTAGACAATGAGAAGGGAGCAGCTGGATCCTCAGGACAAGGTCTTTCAGTCCTCTTCAACCCTTCATATGAGGGGGGAACAGTCAGCAAGCCCAGCTGAGGTGATCATTTGCAAGCAGGCAAAGTTGAGCATCCCAAGATGGCAATTGCTTAGCTCAGAAAAAAAAGTCACTCAGAACAACAGAGAATTCCTGGAGTTTTCTAAATAAGAAAATAGTAGGATTTTTCTCTAGAGTGTTGATCCACAAACATTTTATGTGGTAGGCTGGAGGGGAAAAGAGAGGCCAGAGAGGAAACTACGTACTAGTAGAATAAAGCATTGAGTAGGAAGTGCTAGACTGGCAAAGGGCCAGAAGTAAAGCATGTCACGAGCTGCTGTGCAAGTATATCCTGGAAACCTGAAACTTGAGCCATTCTAACAGACACCCCAACAGCGATTATCAGCATCATTTAACAGCTGCTACATTAATGATAAATATGGTCCCTTCATGTTCGTGTTAGCATAATTAAGTGCTAGTTATGTTTGTGGTTGTGTTCATTCTCAGGGGGGGAAGATGTCAAATATCTCCTAACTTGGTATAACAAGCATTCTTAGGTTTAACAGACAAAGGCATTTTTCTTGTACAGAGACTGTCTTGGTTGTGAGCTTGCTAAGTTGAAAGTTACAGCTCATTCATTTCGGTACTCATGGTATCTAAAGAGTACTCAGTAAATGTTCAGTGGAGCAGTGAGACCAATGACTGAGTAATCGAGGAAAGAAATGTCTAGATTCGTAATAACAAAACAATACAGAGTAAAGCACAGAGAATGACTTAAGTAGATCCCAAGCTGTGGGAGACCAATGGTCTCCATCCTTTTGGGTAAGAGCGGTTTCTACAGTGTATCTCCCTGACTCTTCCAGGGTCATTCTCCATGTAGGATCTGAGCCTACCTAGTGTGTTGCCACAATTATTTCTATAGCAACAGACTCTTTAATAGGCTAGGAAAATCTTTTTAAATCTCATTTTTGAAATGGGAAACTTGCAGTTTCCTTGAAATCACAAAGGAATCACAAATTCATGTTTGACAAGATGGTTCTGAGGGTAAAGGTACTTGTGGCTAAACCTGGGAGCCCACATAAAAGAAAAAAGAGAACTGACTGCTGGAAACTGTTCTCTGACCTCCATGCATACACTGTGGCATGTATGCTCACACAAACACACACACACACACACACACACACACACACACACACACACACACACACTAAATTTTAAATCACAAATAAGAGATTACAAAGTAGTCCACTTAGAAAAAAATTCCTTCTGACTAATTATTATTCCAAGAGGTCTAGACCAGACTTTACACAGAGAGAAAAGAAATGAGTCAAGCTTTTCTGGACCCGTATAGGGTTAGACATATTATGACTTTGTGAAGATCTGCTTCAGGATAGTGGTGTACTACACAGTTGTATCCTTCCTTGTGTTGTGTATCAGTTTTCTCTGAGATTGAAAAATTGCATCCTGCAAGAAAGCTCCTTAGGACAGAAGTGAACAACTCAAAATAACTCCCGGAAGTCCCTGAAGCTTAGCAGACTCACTAGCTGCTCCCTCCCTGCCAGGAGTAAGGCAGGACTGCTGAGAGTCACTCTCAGATAAGCTTAGCTGCAAAGTAGACTGAGACTAGACAAGCTACCTGGAAGAGGTTTAGGCCTACTGAATCACTTGGAAAGGATGTTCTCCAACCTGTTGAGCTGCCTGTAGGCTGTGTAGTGTGCCCCAGGCTTTCAGTTTTGTGAGCTGTATATCAAATTTCTCTTTTTTCACAGTACCTCAGATTATATTCTACACTCTTAGCTTGGGTAATTCTGCATTTATAATTCTATTAGCTTCTTCAGTATCTCAAATTCTAGCACTAAGTAAATATATTTATCATTATTTGAAAACGTTTTTGATAAAGGATTTCTGGGGGTTAAGATACAGCTTAGGGTTGTCTGGATTGCCCAAGAATGTCTGAAGCCAGCAATGAAAAATAAAGGATAGAAAGCCAATAGAATGTCCACATCATACAAATCCCAGAGGGAGGGCTTTCGGGGTGAGATGTCACAGCACAATACAGGCGAAGTTAGGGCGATGAACAGAACAGAAAGGAAGTGGACACCTTCAGCATGGAGACACAGTCACACCTTTGTTACAAATTCCTGGCATTCTTAGTATTAAATAAAGTTACCATGACACAGGTAAACCCGTATTTAAACTTACAGCCAACCTCATCTTTCAATGACTGTTACAGGCTTGTGATTTAATCACGATTGTAAAAATTGTGCAAGCACCTTTAAGAAACTGCTTTGGTCTTCAGTCTCAAAGTGTCCATCTCAGAACCTTAGTGACAGGAGCCAAAATAAAGACTACTAAATACAAGAAAATCTAATTTATGACACAAATACTTAAAATTTATTTGTTCCAAAAGACATCTCATGGTTTCCTCATGGCAGTTAATTCTTTTTTTAAAAAAGAAATTTTCTATTCACTTTACATACCAATCACAGATTCCCCCTTCCCTCCCCATCCCCAGCCTTCCCCCCAACCCACTCTCTATACTCCCTATCCCTACATTTTCCAAATCAAGGTCTCCCATGGGGACTCAGCAGAGCCTGGCACACTCAGCTGAAGCAGGTCCAAGCCCCTCCTCCCTGCACCAAGGCTGTGCAAGGCGTTACACTCTAGACACTAGTCTTCAAGAAGCCCGCCCATGCACCAGGGACAGATCCCAATTCCTGCCTGCCTGGGGACCCCCCCAAACAGTTCAAGCTAAACAACTGTCTCCTGTATCCAGAGGGCCTCGTCTAGTCCTATGGGGGCTCCACAGCTATTAGTCCACAGTTCATGGGTTTCCACTAGTGTGGCTGGTCATCTCTGCACGTTTTCCCATCGTGATCTCTACGTTTCCTGTCCACAGAATCCCTCCCTCTCTCATTGATTGGATTCCTGGAGCTCAGCCTCGTGCCCAGCCTTAGATCTCTGCATCTGCTTCTATCAGTCACTGGATGAAGGCTCTATGATGACAGTTAGGGTATTCACTAGTCCAATCACCAGAATGGACCAGTCCAGGCATCCTCTTAACCATTGCTAGTAGTCCAAGGTGGGATCATCCTTGTGGATTCCTGAGAACTTCCCAGGCACCCTGCCTCTTCCTATTCCCATGATGTCTCCATGTATCTAAGAACATACAAAGGCAGATAGTGAGAATGGGTCCATCACAGTTTTCCTGAAAAATCCTGATTTCAAGTGAAATTGCATGACACTGGTCGGTAAAAATGTAGTCCAGCCTAGACAGCAAACTAACTCATTTTCCTTGTTCATTCAAGCCTCCAGGCACCCATCAGATACCACAGCCGGATAAAAAGCAGGTCTTTGCCCATTTGTAGCCAGCTCCAAAATGGAACTAACTTGGAACCTGCAATTAAAAATAAATTAAATTATATTGGGAGAAATATACAGCAATTTAAAATTGTATCCTAAAAATGGCTGGGGCTGGGAGGTAGAG